TGGAAGGAAGTCCCAATGCGTAGCCCACATTTAAGGAGTGGGGAGTGTTCAGCTCCACTCCCTTGAGATGGAGTGCTTATATAAATTATTTGTAGTTCTTCTGTACAAATTCGTTTTCCCACATTTATTTAATTATTCAATATTTATCTATATTAGTATTATATTATTAACCATTCAGTATTTATATCAGTGTGATATTGTCTGTATCAGTATTCAATATTTATCTGTCAATATTGTATATATTAATTTTATACTTTGGATTATCATCTAATACCACTTTATTTATTTTGTTGCTCAAGTTGTTCCAGCTTTGGCCATTGGGACTCTTTCAGTTGGCTCCTGTGTGACTTTGACATACTCCCATCAGTATGTGTTTTAAGCACTTGCTTACTTTCTGGCACTGTAACATGCTCCCGGCTCATCTAGTATTTTCCTTGCCCTAGCCGTGGAAGCAGCCATTTCAGTAGAGATCTGATTCCTTTTCTTTGAAGAGCACTGTTAGAAACCAAGAACTGAGTGCCAGTGTGCTCACTTGGGGTATTGCTGCTTCTAGGCCTTCTGAATGAACAGAACTAGGAAATACATGTGTGTATACTGAGCTGTATGTACACGTGTATCTCTCTCTCTCTCTCTCCCTCTCTCTCTCTTTCTGTCTATCTGTCTGGCCAAACATGAGTTCATTATGACATTTCCAACCCTAATACAGTGCCGTATGGATCATTCTAGCTACCCCCCCCCTTGCTTATCAATAAGCTCCCTTTCCAGCAGTGAGAAACCTGGCTCCCAACATCGACTGTCCGTTTACTTATTTATTCTATCCCAGTGTACATGGATAGCAGTTTCAAAATTAACTCATACTCTCATGTAATGCCACACACCTTGATTTTTCTGTTCCTTTTCTCTTCCTGTCTGGTGATGATTCATCTTACCCCCCAAAAGGAAGAGATTTGATACAACCCAAAGTAAATTCTGATTAGCAAGAGAGTAAGGATCTCTATTAGTGAACTCAGGACAAGGATAGCCACTTGGCTTCCTTGGAAACCATTATCCAGTCTCATCTGCGATGGCTCAGAGCTTGAGTTTATTCTGATCTTGTTGCCTACTTGGTTCTGTGTCCGGAAATGTATGCCCCTGTATATGATAGTACATATATGAAGGCATTTTTCAGTTGAGAGAGGCCTCAAGTCAGTATAGGAAATAAAGTCAAATCTTCCCTAAACACTGCTCTAAAGTTCTGTGGCCTTTAAAGGGGAAAGTGGCAGACCTATACTGGAAAACATAAAAGCTGTAAAATTCATAAATATTTTAAAATGTTGATCTCAAGTGTGAAAAAGAAACTTCTGATGAAGGACAGGTTACTTTTCAAAACATGAAAGTCAATCAAAATTAGCCTTTAAAACAGGAAATTTAGACTTTCATCTGGGATTTACCTAGCAGTTTGTTCTCATCTGCATGTAAATGTAAGATTCAGGAGACTTGTGAAAATTTTTTTTATTAAATTTCAAACTGATTTTAATGGTAAATGGTTCAAAAGAAAAATTATAGATGTACCAATGGAACTGGCAGTCTCCTAAGTGTTTGGAGGAGAGAAGAGAGTTTATATTCTGTTCATACTACTCAAAAGCAGATGAAAATCCCCTACACATTCATGATTTAATAGAAATACAATGGCGGTGTGGCCAACTCTGCCAACATATGGTTCCTAATTGGAAGTGTAGTTTGCTTTACTAACCCAACAATTACAAAATTACAGATGAATTTATTCAGTCAGAAAAAAGATACGTATGTGTACGCTCTGCTCTGGTCATTGGCACTGGCCCAGGCCCTTTCCAGAGCAGAGATAAAGACTAGAACTGTAGATGCATAATAAAGATAATGGCAGTTAATTTCTTATGCAGCTGTGAATTTAACATTAAGGCTTTAATTCTTCACTCACTCAGTCTCCCCATCTGTCACCTAGAGAATTACTTATTTTTTGTTTTGTTTATTTTTGTTTTCAGGAGAAAAAGTAGATTATTAAGTGGTTTGGATCAAAAGCAGAATTTTTATGGAGTGTCAAGGAACTAGATATGTGGCTTGAGAGAAAAGGAGAAGTAGATGTATGTCTATAGCCACAGAGATGAATTTGAGATAGAAACCCTCATTCCTATGTGTGTAAGAGTCAGCCCTTATATCTTTCACAACATTTAAATTGTACAAAATTAAGCCCTTCAGCATAAAATCTCAAAAAAGAAGAAACACCAGACACTCAGTTCCTCCCTAGGTTTGCCAGTTGTTTGAGGAAGGTAGTTAGACAAGAGTGGAAGTAAAGTAAATCAGGATTTCACATTTTCACTCTGGCTTAGCTTCAAAATCAGTCTGTCCTATATTTCTCTCTGCCTAAACCCTGTCCATATAGGCAGGTAAAATAGGGTCAGAAACCATCTATGGAAGAAACAGTCACTGCAGGATTTGCATTTCTATCTGAAACTAGAATAGGCATCACTAGAGGGAAGAATGGAATTTATCCTTCTTATTTGGAAGGAGCTCATAAGGATTTAGGTATTAGTGTATATTGATTGTATTTTTTCCTTCAGTTTAAGATTTTTCTAGTTCTGCTATGTCAAGTGATTTTTGATTGAGATGTAGACATTTTTATATTATGCTATGGGCTCAAAATCCTGTTGAGTCCTTTTTTTTTTTTTTGAACTGGCTATGTCTGCCACATCTCCAGCATTGGAAGGAAGGGTACTGCCTCATTACTGCCAGGTAGAGGTAGAATTCCAGGTTCCCCACTCATCCTCTGTTGATACCTTATGGTGGAAATGGGGGCAGGGAATGCTCCTCATTACTCTTGGGTATAATGGTATTTCCAGATCCCTGCATGGTCTCCACTGATACCACAGTGGATAGGGCTGGTCTTGTTCCCACTGGGCATTGGTTTGATACCACCCCAATATTTATGAGGATGGAGGAGGAGAGACCCCTCATTACTGCTGGGTAGGGGTGGACAGCCAGGCTCCCATGTGGTTACTACTGACACTGTAGAGGATGGTTCATTACCAGCTGGTGGGCATGAAGTTCCCAACTCCCTCCTTGCTCTTCCCTGAATTCTCTGACAGGGAAGTTGGGGCTTCTTGTTACAATTTCATGAGGGTAGACATCTAGTCTACCCCACTCAGCCTTTGCTGGCATTCATGGTGGTAGTTTCTCTTGTGGTATTTGGCTGGAGTAGAGCAGTTATTGTCTAAAGGTTTTTCATCTTGCTAGGCTGTCCCTTTCTTGCTCTTTTGTCTGGAGAACAGGCTTTTGTTGAGGCTTTTTTGGTCTATGCCTCATGGTGTCTCCAGGTTGGTGACCGCTTCAGCTACAAGTCTGGTATAAATGAGACAAAAAGAAAACCCAGGAATCTCACCTTCATGTTGTTTCTTGGGTCCTGAAGTCTCAGGGTGGTCTACTTTCTTTTCACTTTGCAGAGTCTTCTTATGCTTCGTTTATATATAACATCCAGGGTTTTTAAGTTCTATTTAGCAGGAGGAATAGGAAAATAAGTCTGCTCCATTTTCCTGCAAGCAAAAGTCCTTGCCACTTAGTTTTTCTTTTGTTTTGTTTTTCCCAGTATTTTCTTATGAAAGTTTGAAGACGGAAGAATTACAGTTAATCACCACGTATCCACCCCAATATTTAACACTTAACTTTTTGCTATATATTTTTTTTGAGTATAAGTTTTATTTACTTTATTGTATTTATCCATCTGCCCATTCCATCTGTCTGTTCATTAATTATTTTTGATGGACATCAGTACACTTCACCCCTAAACAATCAGCATGCATATCATTAATTGCATGCAAAATCACTATTTATTTATGGTTTTTTTAAAGGTAAATTTTATATAAAGTAAAATGCATGATATCATAAATACCATTTGATGAGTTGTGTATGATCTATCCCTTATTGAGATAATTTCAGTCACCTCAGTAATTTCCCTTCAAGCCCCTTCTCAACTAATGTTTACTTCCATCTCATTCCAAGAAGCAACTACTGTTCTGATTTTCTTTTTTTTTTGCTATTGTCATAAATTCATTTTGACTCCTTTAGAACTTCACATAAATAGAACCACACGTATGTATTCTGTTGTGCTTGGCTTTTTTTCAGCACAATGTTTTTGAGAGGCATTCATGTTGTTGTATGTATCAGTGGGGGTTTATCATTATTATTATTGCTGAGTGTTATTTCATTGCATGAACAATACCATGGTTTATCCATTCTGGGCTGCTTCCAGTTTTTTGCCATTACCATTTAATAGTAGGAATAACATAAGCCATCATTGTCTACCTTCTGTTTTGAACATAATGCAAGGCAACTTAAGGTTTTGGGCCTTTCTCTGATTAATAAGTTGATTAAGGCACTAAAGATATGTTCTATCACACACAATACCCACATTTTCCACACATTTCTTATTGTTAGCGAAAATTATCAGTTTATTGGGAAGCTGAAAACTTTATTTTTAAATAGAAGTAAAAGATAGTTTTAGATTGTAAAAATTAGAATTTAGCTTCTTGGCACTGCATTTTATTTTGCAAAGGAGAAACAGTGGTTTTAACTACCCCATAACTGTAGTATTCATTACTGAGAATGCCATACTAGCCTCTGGAGGAACATCCTATTTCAGGAATACTTAGAATACTCTCTTCCTCCACAAACTAGTGATGTAGTTGCTGCAGACGGATTCAGCTGTGTTTCACAGACCCTTATTTGTCTGGCCCTACCTATTATGTAAGTCTCTTGCTTCTTTTCTATTTTCCCAAAATGATTATCTACGGGGACTGTAATTTCTGATTGATTGATTTACTGATTGATATTAGGGGAGTTCTACCAGCTAGGGAGTGAGACAAAATAAACTTTACATGAGATTCCAATTAAAGTGGTCATACTTGCTATTAAAGTGCAGGAAGAAACAGATGATGTTGTCTCAAACTTTTTATTACAGCTTTTCTCTGACTTTATTTTTCTTTATACAGTTGATGGACTGGACAAAGCTTCTGTAGCAAATTCGGATGGCCCAACAGCAGGCTCCCAAACGCCTCCCTTCAAGAGAAAGGGGAAACTCTCCACCATCGGTAAAATCTTTAAGCCTTGGAAATGGAGGAAAAAGAAGACCAGTGACAAATTTAGAGAAACCTCAGCAGGTATGAATATCATAACTTTGCTAGAAGATAAGTTGTTAAATTTTTAAAAGATAAAAAATTGTGTCTTGTAGGGCTTTTTTTTTCCCCAGAAAAAAGTCCATATTTGAAATGAAATTAGTTAATTTCAGGATAAAACAACTTAGAGTTCTGATTTGCCTCCTTTTCCACTCACTGACTTTCTAATATATTCTTGTTTTTAACTATATACTTGTAAATTCATATGGAAAACTAGTGTGGAGGGAGGGGAAGGTGAAGGAAGGTGAAATAGAAAATTAGAAGGGAAAATGTTATTTGTCAACATTGTAGCTGAAATATCCATTCCCACACACACAATATTATCTGTCTATCTACTTAGTTCCAGTAGCACAATCCTATTTTTAATTTAAAAGTTTTTTGAATGTTTTTTTGAATGTATTTGTTTCGTGGGCAAAATGTAAATGGCTGTTTGAAGGAAAAGTGTTGCTATATTTTATTGTTAAATTTAAAATTTCCATCATGCCTGTAAGACAAATAAATGGTTTCTGTCCTAAGGGAGTCATAACACTATTGGTGTGAAAATTTATTATTATTATTTTGTGGATTTGTTAAACTTTAAGAATTACATTATTTAGTACCTTTCATATGGACTCATGGAAGAAATTGGCTTTAAACCTCAGGCCCGAATTAAGCCCAATTTAAACAAGTGTCTGGTATCAGTGATATTACCTTTAAGGTAGAAAAGCATTTATCTCTTGATATAAGTTCAGCGTTCTCCATGCTTATTGTCTAATACAGCCACTTCATCAAAATTCCTCATTGCACCAAGGTTAATATTGTCAGTGTATGTGCAGGGTCACAGAGCATATCTTACTGGTCTGTGCTGACATAGGAGCTGGCCTTTAGTTCTAGAGCTGTGAAATAAAATAGAAAATACCTCACGTAGCACAAAGGTATGGAATAGGGACACCAAAGCTTCCTAACAAATTGCTTCTGATGCATTTGCAGCTATGTAACTTCTTTGAGCATTTAATGTTTAAAAAAGAAATAATGATACCATATCTGGGATTTGTTTCAAAATCCTGGGGGTGGGGGTGAGTGTAGATAAAAGAAGATTGGCCACAAGTTGGTAATTGCTTAAGCTTGGCGATGGGTACAGGATGTTTATTATCCTCACGTCTCTACGTGGAGATACTGGAAAATTTCTATAATGAAAAGAGAGGGGGGAAAAAAGAGACTTGGCTTAAGAGGAAATAACAATAGCTTGGTTATTACATTTTCTGTAGTTTCTAATCGGCTTCTTGGATTAGAAGCAGTGGAAAGTGGACAGAGTGCTGTGCTGAGTGAGGACATCTGAGTTCTGGTAGTGTCCTTGCCTCCCAGGTACCATGTGACCTTGAGCAAGTCAGATCAGAGTTGAATGAGTTGAATTCCAAGGTGCTTTCAGTTCCAGATTCTGTTGTCAGTCCTTGACTCCTAATCCCTGGCTGGACATCTTGTTCTCCCTTATTCTTCAGTTGTGAATGGAACCACACCGGTCTTCTTAAGTGTCCCCCTCCCATGTTTCCCTAAGTGTTGAGAGAATCTGGCCCTTCAGGTTACCATGGCTACCCAAGATGGGAGTAGGGCTCCAGACAGTGCCGGTAAGAAAATATTAAGAAGGGAGGATGAAAGTCTCCTTGTTTGTCTAGCTTGCCCTTTACTTGAATCTTGGCTGCTAACTTTTCTCTCCCTAATGTAGAAAAGACAGGCACAAAGAAATTCTCCTTCACTTTTCCTTGTCATCTATTTTTAATATTCAGGCTGTAACCCTGAATATTTAAGAAAAGTCATTTTAAACAGCATTAAGTGTTATTTTATGTTATCCCATATTTGTTGAGGAAAACCTAGCCATCTTTCTATTGTTTTCTTTTCACATTCACATAGGATTTTATATAAGTTTAGCTCCAAAGAGTTATTTGTGGATACTATATCCCTAGTTCCTAAAGACTACCAAACTACATTAACAACCTGAAAAAGTTATTAGATGTTTGTTTTCTTTGCAACAAAATTGTGACATAACAGAATAAAGACAAGCCAAGGAGATATGTTAACAATTCTTTGTGAATTTATCTGCTACATTTGTGTCATTTCTTTCTAAACCCATCTTAATGTCTTACTTGAATTTCGTTAAGATGTTATCAAGTGTCCCATTATAAAATACTTTGTTGTTACCTTATATATATACTTATTTTAAGGCTTAAATTTCTGCTGAGCTTTATGAAGTGTATCAGTAAAGCCTAAAATAAAGGGAGGCACAGTGGTGTAACAGATGTTTTATTCACATTGAGGAAAGATGTCACATCTAGAGGAAAACTGATGCATTTGGAAATAACTAAGAGAAAGGTGTTTTCTTCTTTAATAAATTGTCTCAAACAGTGAACTCTAGTTGTTTGGATATGACCAAGGCCATGTGCTGTCTGGCATACTATAAAGTACGCCTTAGGCACGTCCCACAATATGTTGGGATCTGAAAGAAGATGCATTTCTTCCAAGAAAAGTAAATCTTTGTTTTTCCTTCCCCTAAACTCCTGGCGTTATAGTCACATGGCTATGAATCTTACTGCGTTCTGCTACCTAGTGATTAATGCTGCTTTTCCTAGTCTGGGTTTCTGTTGTAGGAATTTTTAATTGGTAACAGAGAGGATGCAACACTGATTTATTAATGCCATCGTAATCAGTGCCATTGTACTCATATGTTTGCTGTGGTGGTGGTAGTAAAGAAGGATCCTAGTTGGTGGAGCATGTGAGTCTTGATCTCGGGGTATGAATTTAAGCCCCACATTGGGTGTAGAGATTACTTAAAGATAAAAATCTAAAAAGAGAGAGAGAGAGAGAGAAGTGTCCTGTCCTCTGCTTGCTTTGGTAGTCCTTGAGCCAGCTATATTTTGGAAGGCCATCTTGTCCTATAAGTCAGGCTGGGCCTAGGCCCCAACTTCAAGTTCTCTGGCCTTGTTTTAAAGTGGAAAGTTACCTGTCTCTTCAACTCTGTGTAGGCTGGTCCACAGACTGTTGAGTCTAGGGCAGGAGAGCAGTCTTCTTTCCATTTACTTTCCCCAGTGCCTCTTTTCTTCACTCTTCATCTCCTGAGCTAGAGGGCCCTTCTCTGGTCCCAACTTTGCTCTCAGTTACATCCCTTCTATGTCTTTAGAACTCAAAATGTTATTTACACTTCTTTTCCTACATAATTATTTCTTCCTGGTTTTTTTCTTTCTTTTTTTTGGTGTGTGGGGGGGTGGTGCCGTGTGTGTAGTGGCTGAGGTTCCTCCCTCTGGATCCTTAAATATATTTCCATCTCCACAAAGATAAGAATACAAACAAATCCCCTGTCTAAACAACACTTGTTCCTCCAACTTCTGCAGAGTCTGTTGCCATCAAGACCAAACATCTTGAAAATCCAGCCAATGTCACTGCTTCCACATCCTCTCCACACTATCATTCCTCTCCCTCTGCCATCTCCGCCTGCATCCAGCACTCCACTGATGACACTCCAAGCCTCCCAATCGGGAAATTCAGAGTCGCTCTCTCATTTTCATCCATCCCAACTGCTGCAGCATTTGCCATGACTGGTTGGTCTTCCCTTGATTTACAAAAGCTGTCATTATCTTGGTTGTCTTTGACTTTTCTTGCTGCCTTTTGCCTCCTCTTTCCCCCTTCTCCTGTCCCCTAAACCTTTGAGGGAGTTTGCTACGTGTCTTAGCCCTTCCCTTTCTTTGTGCTCTTTCTCATCATGCCATCTCTTCTCAGTACCCACATCTCTCAAGCCGAGTCTCCACCCAAGACCTAGGCATATCTACCCAAGCACTTGACGGGTAGCAATGCCTAAGGAGTGCATGTTAACTCGAAATCCATTCCTAAGGTCTACATATATCTGCACTGAAAACGTGATGCATGCAAGTATTATTCTGGAGTCAGATATTCTGGAGTGAGTGAGCAAGCAAGGTTCCTGCCCTCCTGGAGCTTTCATTCTAGAGAGGTAGATGCTATGAATGGGCACAGAGTGAGAGAAGAGGGAGTGGAAAAGTACTATGTACAAAATCCATTTCAAAGCAAAACAGATCCCTTGCCAATCCCAGCTATCTGTGCTGTTACAGACATGGCTTTATTTGGCATCCAGACTTGGAACCATAGAGTCCTTTGACTCTTCCTTGCCTCTTCCTTGCCTCTTACCATCTTCTACATTCCATTAGTTCCTAAAACCTTTCATGTGTTTTCTCCCGATACAGGGTCTCTCACATTAGCCTTTCTTCTCAATCCGTATTATCTGGTCCTTATCACTCTATTATTGCAGGTAGCCTCTTGGTTATATTTAGGTATTAGCTGTACCAGCTATAGAAAACTAGAGAATGCTAGAGAAGGTAGGGAGAAGGTGAGGTTCTGGCAGTAAATCTGCCCACAGGAGAAACTGACCTAGCTGGTGAGGCTGACAGTGAAGGTTCAGGATGCCAGAGGCTGTCAGGAACCCCAGGTAACCAAGATGACAACTTTCCAAGTCTCAGGCCAGGCAAATAGAGCAATGGGTATTTCACACTAAAATGGCTTGTGTTCTGCCTGATAGGGTAGAATAAGAGAGCATCCAGGTAAGTGAGAGTGGGAAATCCAGGTAGACCTTAGTAGCCAGGGTATTCTAAATTACTTAGGTGGTAGTACTCATGAGCAGATGGTGCCTGGTACAGGAATCAGAAAGACTCAAAGAGAGACCCTCTCCTTTTTTTTTTTTTTTTTTTCCAAAGGAACCAGGGAATAGAACTGGTAACTAAGACAAGAAGTTACCAAAGGATTCAGGACAGAAACTTGCTGTATGAAGTGGAACACAGGGAATGGGTTTGAGGGAGTGGTCCCTTCAGGCCCCAAACCTCAAGTGCTGGAGCTCCTGTTGCTAAAATGGTACAGCGCAAGAGCTGGGTGACCAGAAAGAACAAGGATTATTGTGGATTTGGAGAAATAGGTAGGCAAACTACCCATCCCTACCCTCTCTCCTCTAG